GAGGAGGAGGAGGAGGAGGAGGAGGAGGCTGGCCCAGAGCCGGAGCCGCTCCGTGGGCGGACGCCGCCGCTGCCTGGCTCGATGGTGCTGGGCCGGGCTCTCGGAGGGCCTCAACCTCGCACGCGTGTCCAGATGCACCAGGGCGCGGCACGCACGGGTGCAGATGCTGCTGCAGGAGGCCACATGCGAGCCCTACCCCTCCCCCCACGATTTCTGAGGGGGAGGGTGAGGCTCACTTCGTTTGGGAGCTCCCAAGCGAAGTGAACCCCCCACCCTCCCCCTCAGAACTCGTGGGGGGGAGGGGCAGGGCTCGCATGTGGCCCCCTAGGCTGGCCATCTCCTCGGCCCCGCGCCCAAGGACAAGCAGCCTCGCATTGGGAAGCCGGCGCGGACCGGAGCGTGCATCGAATCGAATCGGCGGCGCCAGGATGCACAACAACGCCGTGCAGACGCGGGGCCCTCTCCCTGGGCCTCATCGGTCTTCGGGCCATCGCGCGGCCGTCCGGGACGATCCGGGCAGCCCCGGCACGCTCTCGGCGAGGCGCAGCTGCCGGCATCCCTCCCGAGCTGGGCTATGCCTCCGAGGCCCGACGGAGACGCCCGAAGACCTCCCGCCTTCGAGCCGTCGCAAGCCTGCCCTCGCCCTCGTTCGCCGCGCCCTGGCTCCCGGAAGTCGGCATCGAATCGAAGCGGGCTGGCTGGAGCCGAGATCGAGTCGGATCGACCGGATCGGAACGGAAGAGGCCCGGGGGCCTCTGCCGGCCCCTCCGCGGCAGGGAGGGCGGGGCTGCCGCGAGGTGTCTCGGATATGCCCTGCCCGTCGCGCTCTAGCCTGTAGACCTGGTATATGGTCATCGTCATCCCAGGGTCGAATCCTCCGACGAAACCAGGAGGAGGATCACACCGGGTGGGGACGAAATCGAGAGCGTCCGAGACCTGGCGGCTCTGGAGGACGTCTCGGGCGCAGCGGCCTTCCCAGAGCGTTCCGGGACGTCCTGGAACGGGTTTATCCTCGTCCTGGCCCCGTCCGAAATCCTCTGGGAGGCAGCCGACCGGACTTGCGCATCTCGGTCAACTTCAGGTCCTTGTACGAGTTGGGCGCCGCGAAGGCCCACTTGAACACCAGCATCGACAAGATCGTCATGAACTCCTTGGGCAACTTCCACGTACTCACGTAGTCCTCGCCGCCCGAATGACACGCTTGTCCACGAGTGCCTCCAACATGCGTGTGGCCTGCACTAATTACATACAGTCAAAACGTTTATTAAGGACGGGTGGCAAGGACGCAAGACCCTTGGAGGCCGAAGTTGGATTTTTGGGGCGGGGGGCGGCCAGTGAAAACGGCGAAGGACGGGCCGCAGATGCAAGGACTCAAGGGCACCCTAGATGAAGGCACGCGTCCTTACTAGGCGCGTTGACTGTAGACGTGTGCGTATACTATGAAAGCCCATGCGTACTAGATGATACGCTGGTGGAGCGTTGGCACGTGCACGGAAGTAGTGCGGCTCTGGAGGATGCATTGGGCGCCACGGCCTTCCCAGAGCGTTCCAGAACGCTCTGGGACGATTCACTCCGATCCTACAAGCCTCGTCAAACGTAGATGGAGACGCCGTTCAAAATCGAAGCGCCCAACAGTTCGGGCACTCGTCAGAAAACGTGCTCTTCAATTATGTGAGGGCGCTGACGGATTTCGGACACCCCTGCGCGCGGGCCAAACATTTCATGCCAGCATTGATACGAGGCCTCCTAGATGGGGTCAGAAGATCACGACGCATCGCCAACAATGCATCTCCGATGCATCGGCGATGCATCGCCCATGTATCGGCGACGTCGGCGGCGTATCGACGACGTCGACGAAAAACAAATCGAGCCCCGCATCGTGCTGCATCGGCCATGCATCGGCGATGCGGCGCGATCCTCTGACCCCATCTACTCCGACCCCATGGCCCATTTAGGAACCCTAGAGTTGAAGTAGCGCCGACCGCGCAAGCGCCGATAACAGAAACCGTCCATTTCTTTTATTCGACGAGTGCTGCAGGTCTGCCCGATAATCGGCGGTGGACAAACCTCCCTTTAGTAGACCTCCCCTTAGTGAAAACGGCCTGGGACCGAAACCGACGGACCTGGACCTGCGAAAACGACGGCCGCGACGCCCCCTCGCGAACCGAAAACGGCCGATTCCTTAATCGACGTGTCAGGGTAGGAGGTCTGCCCACCCCCGACCCGATAAGAGGCCCAAACCTGGCGGGCGCAGGCCTGGGAAAGAGCGGCCACGGCGCCCTCTCGAGAACCGAAAACGGACAACCAATTCACTAATTTAATCGACGTGTCACTGTCGGGGGCTCTGTCCACCCCCGACTTTCATTAGACGAGTGCTGCAGGCCTGCCCGACAAGAGGGGCGCGGGGGGCGGGGCTCCTCGAAGAGGTCCGGGTCCGCGCGCTCGTTGACCCTCTCGGGCGACGGCCCCAGACTCGCCCCTGCCCGCCCCCCTCTACGCCCGCCCCTCCTCCTCCTCCTCCTCCTCCTTCTCTCCACGTCCTCCTCCTCCTCCTCCTCCTCCTCCTCCTCCCTCCTCATCCTCCTCCTCATTCCTCCCTCTCTACGCCCGCTCCTCCTCCTCCTCCTCCCTCCCGCTCCTCCTCATCCTCCTCCTCTCACGTCCTCATCCGCCTTACTCTTGCTCCCCACAGACTCACCCTGCCCCCCCCACCCCGGGAATCGTCCTCGCCCACCCCCCTGCCATCTCCCGCTGCCTGGCGGGGCCTGAGGTCTTGCCCCCACTGCTGTGGCCGTTAGCGCTTCGCGCGACCGTCGCCGTCGCCCTCTCCTCTCCTCCTCCTCCTCTTCCGACGTTGTACCCGCGGCTCCCATATCGGCTATGATTATGTTGTCTTTCGCTGTATTATCATGTATTTTTCTTCTTTTTCTTTTTTTTCTTTAGCTATTGCCGAACCGCGAAGGATCGCCGGCGTCCGAACACCCTCTGGGGCCGCCGAAATAAGTATCTGCCAGTTCATCAGTTGTTTTGTTGGTCTTCTTGATGCCACCAAATTCAACCCTGTGTGGTCTCCTAGCTCAACGCCGTCCTTATCCCCCACCGTGACCTTGGCTGAAATCTCAAGGCCAAGGACGACAATCCACGTTCATCGACGTGGCTGTGTCCGTTCAGATCCGTGCTCCCTTCCCCTCCGCCTCCTCCTCCTCCTCCCCTCTCTTCCTCCTCCCTGCTAAACCATACTCCTCCTCCTTCTCCTCCTCCTCCTCCTCCTCCTCCTCCTCCTCCTCCTCCCCCTTCCCCGATCCGTGGATCTGGCGCGCGGGTGCCAGATCCACGCACTGGGGAACATACCCCCCGAACATCTGCGGCCGATGCCGCCCGACCTGGCGACGGATCGCGCCGGTTCTGCACGGAAGCGGGATCGCTCGTTCACGTGCCCTATTCCATGCTTGCGCTCCCTTGATCGTCGTCCGTCATCGCCATCGTCATCGTCATCGTCATCGCCATTGCCATCGTCATCATCGTCATCATCGTCATCGTCGTCGCCGCCGCCGCCGCCGTCGTCGTCGTCGTCGTCGTCGTCGTCGTCGTCGTCTCCCCCTTGCCCTCCTCCCCCTCGGCCTGTAATGGTGGACCTGGTTGTGGTACACGCTCCAAGCCTCCGGCAGCATCCAGTCGAACCAGTCGAGCGCTCTTCTCGAGAGGCTCCCTCTCCCGAACCTGGCGGTTGGCCCTGGGAAGCGGGACGGGAGGAGGAGGAGGAGGAGGAGGGGGAGGAGGAGGAGGAGGAAGAGGAGGACGAGGAGGAGGAGGAGGAGCAGCGACCACATGTGGCGACGCGCCGAGGCGAGACAGGGACACATCAATGGTGAGAGGTGTCGCGCGACTGCCCATCCATAGCATCACGGCAACGAGGCGCGCCTCCATCACCGACCAGGACGTCCAGGCCAGGAGACAATAGAAGCCTGGAGGGGGCGACGGATTATCATACCACTCCAGGCAAGGGTATGAAACACCAAACGACTTGTCACAAACAACGTCAACATGAATGTGTAAACAATCCTAACCACTGAGCCGCGGGATCCGTGACCTGGAGCCGCCAGAGGGTCGAGATTGGGTGCTTGCGGCCCTCCTTAGGATGGCGGCCCGAAGCGAAACTGTCTCTGCGCCATTTTCGCAGAGGGTTATCTTGCAAAGCGAGCGGGTCGCAATGAGCGAAGAGCTATGATCAGACAGCATGCTCCGAGCAAGGGCCATAGTTCGGGCAACCAAATATCTTGCCTGCCCTATACAAGATGTGGCCTCCAGCAGCTTCCGGCATGATGGGACCCTCCGAAGCGGAGCACCTGACTGGGGAGGGACGCGCTGGCCTTCCCAGGGCCGAGGTCGGGGGCGCTTCTTCAAGCCGAGCTCAGCGCTGCCGATGGTCTCGGTGAGAGCGGCCTGTGGGTGACTAGCTACCTGCCGTGACTAGCTGCATGCCTAATGAAAAGGCTCCGCCACCTCCTCCACATTGAGCAGGGACCGACCGTCCCGGCATTCCTATAGTCCTACCACGAAATTTTCTTAGAACCCCAAAGTGTTCTAATAACAAAAACAAGCTTCTTAGAACATAGAACTCGATGTGTTGAAACAAAACAGCCCCAACCAGAACTGTTCTTAGAACATTACGTGGAAACCACAAAAAGGTTCTTAGAACATTGTTTGGTAGGGCTATAGGCGAGCCAGGACGCTTCGCCACTGCTTGACCACGGGCTTGACGGGCTTGGGGTCAGGCGGAGGAGGAGCAACCCCGGCACGGAGGCGCGAGGGCAGGGGGTCCGAGGAGGGGTCAAGAGGAGGGGGCTCCACCGAGGTGAGGCTCCGCCTGGAACGCACAGCACGGCTATCCTGCGCATCCTCGTCCCCGGCCCTTGTCGAAACCTCGGGCCCCTCAAGGCTTGGCGGCACCTCGGGGGGGGGGGGAGGGCGGAGCTGCATCCACGGGGCATATCTGGAGGGCTGGCTTCCTACGTCCAGGGGCCGTTGGCGCGACGCGCGTGCGGTGAATACATTTGCAACAACTGTCACCGCGGATGATACCATGCATCGGGGATCTTCTGACCCAGGTCAATCCAGACCCGGGTCAGCCAGGCCTTGCAAAATCCTGCAAGATCCTGCAAGACCCTGCACCCAAACCTGGGTCAATGCGAAGGATCCTGCAAAATCCTGCAGGATCCTGTGCCCGAACCCGGGTCAATGGGAGCCTGGCTCTGCAGGATCCTGCAAGATCTGGCGCTCTGGCTGACCCCCGTTTGCATTGACCCCCGTCTCAAGGCTCCCGAATGCAGGCGCCCATCTGGCGCCAGCCGTGGCGGCCGCCGCCGCGAGCGTGCTTGTCGAACTCGTCGGTCACACCGCGGCGGCCTCGCGGGCGGCGGCACCGGCTCAGGAGCAGCAGCCTCCACCAGCTCCTGTGAACTTCCAGGCCACGCCGCAATCCGACGGACGCCATCGGGCAACTCCGCGGGCAGCTCGCGAGCTCGCGAGCCAGGATCGGCAGTCGTGCTTGGCCAGGCCCCTCTTGGCTGCGATGCCCGCGCAATCGTTACCAGTTTTCTCCTCACGATTCTGGGCAGCGATCTCCATCTGGTGGCTCTTCACGTTCTGGATGGTCCGCTGATCCGATCAGCCACCCTGATTCTCCAACGCATGCCAAGGAGTCCGCTAGAGATCCACATTTGAGCGCCGGACGTGCAGGCACTACTCCTTTCCATTGTTGATACTCTCGATTGTCATCTTACAGTCTGTCTGACTGTGCAGCAGGAGGATGCCGTTCCTGAGAGTCAGGACCGCCGCCATCATCTCAGCTGTTGGCACCGACTGCTGAGCACCAGGTAGGGGTCCATACGCCATGCCTTGCAGCTGGCGTCCTCTCATCATCACGATGCCCCATCCTGGCCTCGATGCTTCAGGCCAGCCCACACAAGTACGGCCAGCTCCATCGGTGATGATGTCGTTTGTTTTTAGATCATCTCGCCCACCATAATCATAATACCACTTCTCTTTCATGCAGACTGGTGACAGGCTGGGCAGCGCGTCCCTGTGAATCAAAGCGCGTGTGCAATCATATCATTATTTGGTGCTGCGCGAGCCGCATCAAGTATGCGCCGATCGACGGCCTCGGTCCTCACGACGTCCAAGTTGGGACATAACCAAAGCCGATGATGAAGTGTACCTGGACAGTTCAGGCAGTACGAGCAATCTCCATCTTCAGTGAATCCATGCTTGTGAAGTCGAGCTTGCGACCACTGTCTTCCTATGATGGTTGATCTGAACGCAGCGCGCGCCCTGACCGAGAGCCTCCAGCGACGTGCTTGCTCCTTCGGGGCCAAGAGAAGCTGGAGGGGGCCGGGCCAGTAGCCACAAGCCTGTCGCGTAGGTGCCGTCGTCTCTGGAGCGTGGTCTTGACGCCGAGCCCACTCCTCCCACTTCATGATGGTGAAAGATCGGCGTGCAAATGTGCGTACCACGTCTGGAGAATCCACCGTGAGGTCCAGCTGGACGCCATTCGTCGTCCACTCGAACGGTGAGTGAACCCTTTATTTGAGCTGCACAGGGAGGAGGGAGACGACGAGGAGGAGCAGGAAAGGCGTGAGGAGGGGGGCGAGCGGGAGGAGCAGGAGGAGAATGAGGATGCTCCCTCTCCCGAAGCAAGCGGGCGGTTTTGTCCACCTCGTCCTGCTCGCCCTCTTCCTCGTCGTCCTCCTCCTCCTCCTCCGCGCTGGGTTCGGGGTTCGGTTTTGTGCTCACAGTTCCGGACCCTTCGCAGCAAATTGAGAGGCTTGCTCAGCCCTGCACTGCCCCCCCAGACGTCACAGGGCGTGGAGAAGATCAGAGGAGAATCGGTCTAGACTTTGGACCGAAGTCCTCAGCCAGGCTGAGCGAGCCCAAAGGAGGAGCACCCGATAGTCAGAAATGGGTTACGTCATCTTCCGAGGTATCACCAAGTGACCGAGAAGAGGCTGCAGAGAATTCTCCTCCTCCTCCTCATCCTTCTCCTCCTCCCTCTCCTCCTCCCCCCTCTCCACTCCTCCTTCCAACTAGGCCCAAAAATCTAGAAAATGGCCTCCCGAAGAAACCATCGGAAGTGATTACACATTCGGTGTCGAATCGTTGACTTTTTGGGCCGCAGAAGCACCCCCCCCACCTTGGGGCGTCGCCACGCCATGCTGTGTCATGCTGCGCGTTGATCTTCGACACCATGCTATGCCATGCAATGCTATGCCATGCTACGACATCCGATTGTGCGAAGAGAGAGGAGACCTACGCCATGGTAAGGGATGGGAGGGAGGGGTAGGACGTCATATATGACGCGAGCGCACCTAGCTTGCCTTCTCCCCTCTCCTCTCCTGCTTCCCCCTCTCCTCCTCCCCCCTCTCCTCCTCCTCCTCCTTCTCCTCCTCCTCCTCAACCTCCTTCTTCTTCTCCTCCTCCTCCTCCTCCTCCTCCTCTCCTTTTCATACCTCTCTATCCCTCTTCCTTTCAAGTAACTCCTCCCTGTCGTACCTCGAGACGGGTCGGTGGGGCGGGCTGGGCGTTTCGCCTCTGAAGCTGGGAATTTGCAACAGCCACAAGAATGGATGATGGGTCGTTTTCTAAGTTTGACTCTCGCCTTGCAACGCATACTCGTCTTGAGCATCTGCAAGAATTTCACGGGTGGAGGGCGTGCCGTTTTCAAAATGTGGCATCTCGCTTTTAGCGCCGCGCACATTTGGCTCGACACTTCGAGAAACAGCTCACGGATGGAAGGCGGGTGGTTTTTAACATGTAGCTCTCGCTGTTTTTAACACCGCGTAAAGCCATTTCAACGGTTTGCAAGAGCTTCAGGGATGGAGGGCGCGTCGTTTTCAACATGTGGCTTTCGCCTCAGCACCACGCACATCCGTCTCAAAAGTCTGCAACAACCTTACGGGTGGAGGGCGGCTCGTTTTCAAGACGTGGCTCTTGCCTCAGCTTCGCGCACACTCGCGTCAACAGTTTACAGCAGTTTCAAGGATTCTTATGGTCGACGTTCCAGAAACGGTGTTTTGGCACCACTCAGGATTGCCAGGGCGCGAAAATCGCATTGATTCGCGGTGTTGACGTCCCAAGACAAGGTGTTCTGGCACGATTCTGGATCGTCAGGTCGCAGAAGTAACATTGATTCGCGGCGTTGAAGCCCCATGAATGGTGCTTTAGCACAGCTGGAGTTTTTCAAACACTCTTCTTCCAGCGGGGCTCTTCCCGCAGTGAAGATAAACCCTTGTAGGAGCTTCTGACGATGGAACCTGAATGGAGAGTCTATTGCGTCGTTGGGGGGTATTGGGTTTAAGCTGGTCCTCCTCCCCCGTCCCTTTTCCTTACACACAACTCCCCCCTGTCGCGCCCCGAGTCGGGACGGTAAGGCGGGCGAGCGTTTCACTTCAACATCCTTCACCATCTATGATCCGGGAGCCTGGAAGTTGCAAGAGTTTCACGGGTGGAGGGCGGGTCGTTTTCAAAATGTGGCTCTCGCCTTAGCGCCGCGCGCATTGGCCTTGAACATTTGCAAAGAGTTTCACGGGTGGAGGGCGAGTGGTGTTCAACATGCAGCTCTTGCCTTAGCCCTGTACACGCTCGCCCTAACATATCGCAGCAATTTCGCATACGGAGTGCGGGCCGTTTTCAGAATGTGGCTCTCGCCCCAGCTCCGCGTACAT